GTCACCCTATGCTACTCCATGAAGAGGAATGTGGTAACAGAATCAGACCTCATGTCTGACAACAATATTCCAGCTGTGCATCTCTGAAATCTACCCTTTTCTGCCTAGGCCTGTATTATTAAAGGTCCAGTTCATTGGCTAGTGCAAACTAAACTAGCTCCTCTTTGTTAATGTGGACACATGGACTGACCACAGCTGAAGCACTTGCTCAAAGTTACCATGTGGTGTATAGAGCAAGAAGTGTGCAAGCAGCTTCTTTGTAAGAGACTCCTTTAGCTTTCCAGTGGTATGCCCTATCCACTCTGACTGACAGCATCCCAAAGAGGCATAGCCCCTGTCCCTCAGTGCCGGGGCACCTCACTTCTACCCACAGCTGGGCAGAATGTTTCTATTTAATAATAAATTAACCAAGAAATTCATGTCAGGGAAGGAAGGAAGGGGACAAAATTCATTGTGGATTTGGCAAATGTTTCTATCAAAAAGTAATACAGACATTTTCTGAATATTTTGCTTTGATGTTTTACAAATGAAATGTTTCTTTTTCAAAATGCCAGTGTTTCAATGTTTTTAAAGGACACCTCTTGACTTTTTTGTTTCAGTATGGCATTTATCATAGAAACATAGAAAATGAAGGTTGGAAGGGACCTCAGGAGGTCACATCTAGTCCAACACCCTGCTCAAGGCAGGACCAGCCCCAACTAGATCATCCCACCCAAGGCTTTCTCTAGCTGAGTCTTGAAAACCTCCAGGGATGGAGAGTCCACAACCCCTCTAGGTAATCTGTTCCAGTGCTTCACCGCCCTCCTAATGAGCAAGTTTTTCCTAAACCTCCCTTGCTGCAACTTGAGCTCATTGCTCCTTGTTCTGTCACCACTGAGAACAGTCCGGCTCCATCTTCTTTGTAACCCCCCTTCAGGTAGCTGAAGGCTGCTATTAAATCCCCCCTCAGTCTTCTCTTCTCTGGAAGAAATTAGCCCATTTCCCTCAGCCTCTCCTCAGAAGTCATGTGCCCCAGGCCCCTAACCATTTCATTGTCTTTTTGTTTAACTATTGGCCTAAATTAAAAGAAGAAAGTTCAAATAGTCCACAACCTCAATAAAAGATTTCATTTGGGATCAAACAAACACTGCAGGGTGAATGAAAAGGATTTTTTTTTTTTTATGTACTTCTTCCTCTGCCCAACCCTATTGCTTTCTTTTCAGGTTCAGCCACTGAGCTAAAAAACCCATGATTTGCCTGGATCTAACCTTACATCCTTTCTGCTGGTCTGTTCACTATCATACTGCAAAGGGAGAGGTCCTTTATGAAGTGAACAAGTGTGCTCTAGGCAGTGGTTTTCAACCTTTTTTCATTTACGGACCCCTAAAGTATTCTGAATGGAGGTGCAGACCCCTTTGAATTGTAACTGCGGGTATTTCACGTACTTTTGAATGATAATAGTCATCTTTTGGTGGACCCCTTAGACAATCTGGGGATTAGATCACAAGCTGAAAACCACTGCTCTAGGGATTAGGTTAGGTCTGGGCTCCGAGGATGGATATGGACTCAGGTCCACAAAGATAAAGCGCTCACTGTGCTAATTAATCTGCCCTTTGGCTTCAATGGTTTCTTTAAGACACGCAGTAGATATTGCTACTCGCTAACCCAAGTCATAATTCACAATTCCCCTTCCTCACAGATGGCTTCTCTTGCCTATACAGGGTCAAAACAATCCTGTGGCTGGGAGATCGGAGGCCCTTGGAGAGAAGTAGCGGCAATCTCTGCTGGCAGATCGCTCATTCCCGATGCGAGTAAGCGAGGGGGAGCAGAGAGTAAAGATGAAAATGGAATATTTTGTTAGTGTTCTGACAAGCCATGAATCAAGCACAAGTGAAATTGCTCTAGGGCCCCTTGGCCTGTCAGTTGACACCACCCATTCGGTAAACCTGAAGCTCTGTAATACAGCACGCTGCTAGCTGAGTACACATCGGCATAATGTGCTGTGTGAAGGGATGAATATTTAATCTGTGCTGCCTACTCATTGCAAGCCTCGCATCAGGCGTGGGTTGTTTTGTTTCCTGGCCTGAACAGACAGTGAATTCATTCAAGCATTTCTGACAGATTTCTCCAAGTCGTCAAGCCAGCCAAATCCCCGTCCCTTCTCCCCCAGCAAGGTATTGATTCTCCTAGTCTGACTTGCTCTTTATTCTTATTAAAGGAGCAGAAGCACTGAAAAAAGCCCTGGCTACTGTTGCCACCCCCACTGATCATCTAAAAGGACGAGGTGCCAGTGACTTCTATGGGTTCACGCAGTCCTACCCGCATGGGGTACCCTCTTCTGTAATACGCTGAAGATTCAGCATCCACATCCAGCACAGATACAGGGGGAGAGGAGCAGCCAGGAAACCAAGAAGGTGTCCTGTGCTTTTGCTGTGACTAGAAACTAGAGATGACACTCTAACACCCACCAACACTAAGTAGTCACCGAAGTGGGTTGAGAAGGAGAATATATGGAGCCTGAAAGCTCTGGCTGAAGTGCAGCCTGAAAAACATGAAAGTCATTTATGTTCCCAAGCAAAGTCCCCTCCTTCAAGGCACCTTGGGCCATTCTGGTGCCCATTCAGATCAACTGGAGTCCTTCCATTGGCTTTCAGCAGGTGTTGCATCAGGCCCTTCCTCTCTTCCGCTTGGGTGGGAGGGTGCACTCACTGTTTGGTACTCAACTTTTCAGTCTCAAGACCATGATACATGAAGCTATGAGCTAAGACCTTCTCATCAGGTCTGTGTTAGAGCAGAAGCTTTCCTCCCTCTGATTTTATTTTGGGACAGCTATTGCCACAAAGTTTGGCCAGCTTGAGGTAAGACAGACAAGGTAAGCGATTCACTGCTACTCACTTAGCAGGCAAGGGTTTCATAGCAAACACACAGCCCTGCTGATGGCCTAGGAGCAGAGAAAAACTCCCTGTATAAGAGTTTCCCACTTGTGAACATTGTAACTGCTTAATGTGCCAGGCCCTGATGATGGCAGGACATTCTCTAAGAACTGCCCTCATCTCTGGAGCAAACTTTTCCCTTTGATCCCACATGCTGATCTTCATGATAAACTACAAGGCTTACCCATACCCTCAGGAATTTCAGGGATGGGATCCAGTTCTTGAAGGAAATAGGGTGGTTGAATGCGAGTCTCTGGTACATATGTAACCCTTCTGCTGAGCACCTGTCAGCAGCAACAAGGGCCAGGTTCAATTTTGGGGTACTAATATATTTCACCTTGGCTTGAGCCCCCACCCAGACTACCTGAGAACGCTCTCCCCGGTGGACCCAGAATTGGACTGGAAGTGCTTCTGGTCCACTTCTGGGTTTGCTGCCGAATGTGCTGGGGAGCCCCCTGTGCTCCTGTGGGACACTCCATGCACCCCAGCATCACAGCACTCAGAAGCCTTTGCTACCTAGAGGTACGTCGAAAAATTATTTAAAGCTGTCTCTATGTCTGAATTGCCGAATCTTGCCAAATCTCTCTGAATCGATTTGGATGGTTCCGATTTGATTCAGGAGATTAAAGGGTCCTCTGATTTGATTCAGATTCAGAGATTCAGCCACTGAATCAGGCCAAATCTCTGCCAAATTGAATCAGGGACCAAAGCTTCGCACAGCCCTACTGCTAGAGTGTGTGGGTCCTTCTGTGTTGCAAGGGGCCTCTCAGTGCTCCCTGCAAAACTGTGATGCTGATCTCTACTTCCACGTGGTGGCTTTGAGGGGTTAACCGCAACTTCATCAGCATATTGCACCCAACATTTCTAGTCCTAATCCCAGCTCTGCTGGAGCAGGGAACTGAAAGAGAACTCAAAGAAGCCAGCCAAGCAGCAAATGAGCCTGAACGGCAACCGGCACCAACCACACCGCTTGGGCAAGACAGAGCTACAAAAGCAACAATGAGGGTGGCCGTCATAGACGACATTCTGGTTTTCTGCTACAGGCACCCCCTGCTTAATGCAGTTTCAGTTAGCGCTATTTCACTATAGCGCTCATTTCGAATTGATACCCGATTCCACGGAGCACTCGGCTGGCCTCGCTGTCGCGCTCAGTGGAATCGGAGTTTCGGCAGGCCAGTGGGGAGGGAGAAGTGGTGGTGGTGGCAGCGAGTTTGTGGCAGTGAGTGGGCAGGCAGGCATGAGGGCCCAGAGCGGGATGGCAGAAGTGCAGGCCCAGACTGGCACATGGTGCCGGGGGGGGGGGGGGGGGGGGGG